AAAACAAAAAAAAAAAAAAAGGAAGGACAAAAAATGGAGGCCAGTGGAAAAATTTGCAAAAAAAAAAAAAAAGTTGAGGCCAAAAAGGGAAAAAAAAGAGGGGGTGGCAGATACACAACGGTTAGTAAGGTGGATGAAATGGTAAAAGCATTCATGAGGAGACCGGAAAGAAAAATAGCCTGCGATGAGGTCGGCCAGTAGAAAAAAAGAAAACAATAGAAAAAAGAGAGAAAACAAGGGAGTGCGAATAAGTTGCTTAGGGTTCCGAGGTTAGAAAACAAAAACATCTTGAAAATTTTTTCGAAGGATAAATTTAAAAAAAAATTTTGGACAAGATTGGAAAAAAAAAAGTACAAAAAAGGAAAAAAAAAACAAGAACAAATAAAAAACAAACAAAAAAAAACTGAGAAAAAACAAAAAATTGATCTTGGAAAACAAAAAAAAGAAAAAAAGAAAAAAAAAAACTGGAAAAAAAAAAAGCTCAGTTTTGGAAAAAACTATAGAGTTTGGAGGAAAAAAAAAAAAAATCCATGCCAAAATGGTCACATAGTAGTTTAGTAATGCAAGAAAAAAAAAGGGGGTGAAAAAAAAAAAGTGAACCTTGAAGGGGGTCGAGGTAAAAAAAGGAAAGAAAGAAAGAAAATTGTGTGTCAAAAAACAAAGAATGGGTTAAAAAAAAGCCATGGGGAAAAATCAAGTGACCAAGGGAGGAAAAGAAATGGAGAAAAAAAAGGTGGTCAAGTGAAAAGAAAAAAGGGACCCAACCGAGAGAGGGAGTGAAAAAAGGCAGAGGTAAAAAAAAAAAAAAAGAACTGAAGGGAGCGAAAAATAGAAAAGAAAAAAAGGAGAAAAAGAGTCTCGGAGGGCCAAGAGAATGTAAAAGAGGAGGGGGTCAAGTAGGTAAGAAGTACGGAGTAGTGGCCATTACTGGGAAGTAGTATACCGAGTAGTGGCCATTGGTTGGGATGAGTATGGAGTAGGCCATCAGTTGGGATGAGTTACGGGAGTAGTGGCCAGTTGGTTGTGGCATCACAGTATGGAGTAGTGCCATCCGGTTGGGATTGAGTAAATGCGGATAGTGGCCATCGCTGGGATAGTACTGAGTAGTGGCCATCGGTTGGGGGGATATACGGACCATAGTGGGCCATCGAACGTAAACCCGGAAGTGAGTACGGGAGTAGTGGCCATCGGTGGATGAGTTCGAGTAGTGGCGCATCGGTTAAGGGATTAAGTACGAGTGAGTAGTGGCCATCTGGTTGGGATGAGTTACGGAGTAGTGGGATCCATCGTGTTGGGGTGGAGTACAGAGTATTGGCCATCGGATTGGGATCAGTACGAGTAGTGGCCATCGTTTGGATCAGTAACGGTAGTAGTGTGCCCATCGGTTGGGAATCAGTACGGAGTAAGTGTCCATCGTTGGGATGAGTAACGGAGTAATTATGACATCGCAGGGATGAGTGCGGAGTATGGCCAACGGTTGGATGATGAGTGCGGAGGTAAATTGGAGGCCATCGTTTGGGATGAAAGTGCGGCAGTAGGTGAGCCATCCGGTTGGAGATGAAGTGTCGGAGGTATGGCCAACATCGGGGTTGGGGATGAGTGCGGAGTAGTGGCCATCGGTTGGGATGAGTACGGAGTATTAGGCCATCTGGGCTGGGATGAGTACGGAGTAAGTGGCCATCGTTGGTTGAAGATACGGAAGATAGAGTGCCATGTCGTGTATGGGATGAGTAGCGGAGTAGTTGCCATCGGGTTGGGATGAGTTGGATCGGAGTAGTGGCCATCGGAATTGAAGGATAGAGTGCGGAGTAGTGGCCATCGAGGTTGGGATCAGGTACAGAGTAGTGGCCAATGGTTTTAGCAGTGTGTAGATCATATAGTGAGTTTAAAGTAGGGCAGTTTCAGATGGGAGTGTAGTGAGAGTAGAAAGCCAGACAGTAAAAGAGGTGAAGAAGGTTTGATTGGTCAGTGAGATGGGAGCTCAAGAGTCGATAGTAGAACTAAGCATTCTAAGAGTAATATTAGAGGTAAAATGGCAATAAAACAGCAAAAAAAAGGAGAATGGGTCTTAAGTTGTTCATGTTGAAGGGGTCCAGGGAGGGCAATGTTAAGTATGGGAGTTGATGTGCGCATGCTTTAGAGGTGAGGGGAGAGGCACCAGTAAGAGGGAGAGATGTAGAGATTCGAGTGAGGAGCATAAGGCGATGGAAGAAGAGGGTGTATAACCGTACTAGTTGTAGAGGTGACAGGATTCCAGGGTGGCAGGTTGTGAACTGTGACTTCTGAGAAAACCTTAGTGTACCTCTTTTTCAGTAGTAGCGAGGTCAAAATAGTGAAATGTTTGAGGAAGGTTTAGTATAAGTAATTGTAAGGGTGGAAGGATGTCTGTGCAATGGTTGATGTCCCTACGAATTGCATCAATCTTGTTTTTTTTGAAATGATTTTGCAATCTCATAGATCAGTGAGTGAGGTACTGGTGGTGAATGGAGAAAGTAGAGAGTTAAAAGTATAGAAGAGATGACGAGGACTGGAATGACAAGGTATTGATGAGAGTGACAAAGTTTAGAATCTTGTTTGGCAGCATGGAGGGAGGAATTTGTATAGTGAAGAAATCAGATTTATATCGGGTGAATGCTCGGAGAGATTTGGTTTTTACCCACAATCACTCCAGCAATCACTGTCCAAGCAATCATTTATGGAGTGGTCAGTCTGCCACGGATGTAATGGTCCGGGTGATGGGCCTGTATCTTCGTGTTTTTAGAGGAGGCAAGTCAGATGCTAATTGGAAAAGGAAGACAAAACTGTTTGTAACACAGATGGCCAGGTCAGCGAGGACATGGGAGAGATTTAACTGTTCATAGTAGTTGGACAGTGAGTTGCATCAGTGGAAAGGTTTCAAGTGTGAAGGTTTTGCGGATTTAGCTTTTTAAATTCCTTTGCTGCTATGGGAGGAATAGGTTAGTTGAAGATGAGGATACTGATGGTGATGAGATTGTGAAATCAGAGAGAGGAAAGGGGGGGTGATTTGTGAGGTTAGGGAGTGCAAAGAAAATGGGAGATAAAACAAGGTCCAATGCGTATTCCCCATCAATAGTGAGTGGAGTGTACTGTATAGACATTGTGCTAATGGCAAAGATGAGTGTTAGAGTAGAAGATTGGATTGTAGCCGGGTTGTTGACATTAATATAGGAAGTGTAAAATCTCTGAGAACTGATAGTGTGTAAGATCACGTGAGAGAAAAGTAGGGTGTCCCAGGCCCCGGAGAAATCATCAAGCCTCAAAGCGGGACACGGGTCCAGGAGGCCGATAGATCACTGTCCCTCTCAATCCTCAAGAAAATGGGAGAAAACACCGATAGCAGTGAGATCTGGTGAAAGAAGAGAAGGATAGTATAGAGTGAGGGTATGTTAGGGGGACTAGAAAGGTGCTCATGGGTGACAGAGAAAACCAAATACCCACCACCTTGTCTGACCACTGGGGGGGTCTGGGGAAAATGAGTGTGGGTCCAGAGGAGGCCTCCATAGAAAGTGCTAGCGGGAAATGGAAGGCTGAAATCTGCTGCTTGGGAGTCAGTTTCTCTGAGGGGAATTGCTAGTAGGTTAAGGAGCGGGAGACAAAAAGGTCATGGACAAAGAGGTGAGAGTTAATTACAGACAGAGCGGGCATTCCTAGAACACATGAAAAAAGGGAGGGGTGTGTTTTTAGTGAGCACGGGGACTCCTATTAAAATTGAGGGTAATTGAGCAGCTATTCTTGGATGAAAGAGGATGCCTGGTGTGGGGGTGAAATACTTGGAGGACCTAGATTTGGTGGAGATATCCCCAAGGGAAATTAGAGAAGGATGATGTAGCCTGGTATGGGGTTTGTGAGATAGTTGGAGACCAGGGGTTTGGAGAGATATACCCCAAGAGTTTAGGAGAAGTAGGGTAAAACTGGTGTGGTCGTGTTGAAATACTGGAGGACCAGAGCTTGGGAGATATCCCCAAGGTTTAGGACATGAAGAAGGAGGATGCCTGCATGTGGGGGTAGAAATACTGTGAGTACCAGGTTGGGGAAGAAACCCCAGAGGTTAGAAAGAAGGAGGGATGCCTGAAATTGTGAGGGGGGTGAAGAAGTAGATGAGGACCAGTGTTTTGTGGAGCTTCCCCAGAGGTTAGGGCGAAGGAGGGGTGCAGAAAGTAAGATATGGGAGCGGATAGTACACCGAGCTCAGCACACCCCGCCTTCCATGACCAGTCTGGGGTTATAGGGGCTCAGCAGTGAACCAGTGAAGTAATCAGTGCACAGAAATGTGATAAGCAGTAAGTAGGGAGATGGTAGCAGTGAGGGGGAATGTACAAGTGTTTTGTGGGTGGAGCATGAGGGTAAAGAAGTGAGATTTTGGAACTCACAGAAAGTAATATGAAAAGGAGGAGTATAGGAGGGACATATGAAAGGTAGCACTGGAGTGGGACTCAGACCTGTAGGAGATGTTTCCCGGCGGTGTTTTGCTTGCATCTGTCCAGCGTGCATAGTGAGTTTCTTGTTGTATCTTCCTGCTGCTTTGAGTTCTCCTGCTTCTTATGCACTCCATCATACGCAGAACTCACTCAAAAGCAGCCCCCCCTCAGTGACTTGTGCCCCACCATCAGTGATCTCCCCCCATCAGCTGATCTAAATTTATAGGGAGATGGCCCAATGAAGCACTCATCTCCGCCCCAATTAGGAACTGATAAGAGGACACATGAATGGGGGGGATGATTCTCAAACAGACCAGACACAGACTAACAGTCATAAAACGTAATAAGATGTTATGTTCTATTTACATACCCACCCCATAACTCCCCGTCATGTCCCGTCCTCTTCGTCCATAAGTCATGTCCATCCTCTTTGTCCATAGTGAAATCCTCTTTGTCCATAGTCATGTCCGCCGCTCCTACTACCTCCGTAAGTCATGTCCAGTCCCTCTCCTCCATAGTCACTATGATGTCTTTTTATCTCCATCAAGATGATACACACATGTTGATGATATACAGCAATATTTAGAAGGACACAAGGATCTCTACAATGACGTCATGATGGACAATCAGCCCCCCTCACATCACCGGGTAAGAGTGAGACTTTAGTGTAAAGGAGAGGAGCAGTACGGAGGATCCAACCTAGATCCCCCATCATCTGATAAACACATAAACACAATGGATTCAGTCAGTGATGTGTTGTTTCCTACAGATGGATCCAGTCATGGGAACCCACCATAGAGATGTCCCCGTCCTCTGTATTCCCGGGATTCCACACAGGAAGGTCACACCATCCCTCACCATCATCAGGTAATGATTGACAATTATTGTAGTTGTGATTTATTACACAGCATGTTTGTTACAATGAATGATTTATTATATCTTTCAGAGTTGGAATCCTCGGGGTATGATAATATTATGAAAAGAAGAGTAAAAGAGGAGTATGAGGAGTATGGAGTGATGGAGGAGTTTTCAGAAGGACACAAGGAGATGATGGAGCCACCTAATACCAGGAACCCACCAAGAGAGATGTCCCCATCCTCTTATCCCGGGATTCCACACAGGAAGTCACACCATCCCTCACCATCATCAGGTAAGATTAGAACACAATCACTGATAGTATCATTAGGATCTGTACATTATCTACAATGTTACCATTGATGTCATTTTATTTATATATTTCAAGTGGAATCCTCGGGATTATAATATTGTTGTTAACGGAAGAATTTAAAGAGGAGATGAGCGTATTATGGAGTGATGGAGGAGTTTTCAGAAGGACACAAGGATATGATAGGACGCCACCTAAATACCAGGAACCCACCAGAGAGGATGTCCCCGTCCTCTGTATTCCCCTGATTCCATACAGGAAAGGTCACACCATCCCTCACTATTACAAGGTTTGGTGGGATGAGAGCATCTAGAACATGACTTGTGGAGATGATGTGGTGGAGTTTTTTTATGTGACCTTATATTTTACAGATGATATTTTCTCTCATTTCCTTGATTTAGCAGTGGAATCCAATCGATATAGAATTTGAGGTGAAATCAGAAGAAGAAGAGGCGTATGTGAGGGATGAATCACAGTCTATGGAGGAGGATGGAATAACGGGACATTTATACGAGGAGGACACTCCTACAATATCAGCACAGGTGGGTCTGAACACTAATGGAGTCCATATCCTCCACCCATACTGCTCACTGATAGGTCCAGAGTATGGCGGGGACTGGGTGGATATCAGCCTGTAATATCCCCCCCTTTGTCACTTTCCTGAGCGTGGTGTTCCCCATCCTGTATTCCTGGATTCGCTCTCGGGATAATCTTCCTTCTGCTGTGCTGCAGACACAATTTATGTATCTAGACTGGATTTATGGAGGTTCTGGGGTTCAGCCTGCGCAGCAAAATGTTCATTTTCATCATAAGAGTGTTGATTATCTGGGACCTAATCTGTGGGTCCTCTTCCTCATGCCCATGTAAAATCTCTGATCACACAAAGTCTCCCCAGTGTTCCTTGCTCGGCTTTGTCTGCTCTGTCTGTGCCGGGTTGAGGGATATGGTCTGTAGTGTCTCAGACCCAAGTCACTGAGTGCAGTCTCAGGAGATGGAGGCAGTGATGTGGGACCTCCTGCAACTTGTCTACAGTACAACATTTAAGCTTCCACTCATTCTTGAATACCAAAATTAATGATTCCTGACCCTTACACTGTATAATTTATATTTGTACATTACATACTCCTGACCCCCAGCACTATATACTCTTGATGTTACATTACATCCTCCTGACCCCTGCACTATGTACTCTATGTTGTACATTACATCCTCCTGACCCCTGCACTATGTTGTACATGACATACTCCCTGACTCCTGCACTATATACCTCTATTGTTGTACATTACATACTTCCTGACCCCTGTACTATGTACCTCTATGTTGTACATGACATACTCCTGACTCCTGCACTATGTACTCTATGTTGTACATTATATACTCCTGAACCCCTGCACTATAAAATACTCTGTGTTATAACATTACATACTCCTGACCCCTGATAGAGGGGGTGGGTGACCCTTGTTTGTCCTATAATCCCCTCATCACTGTTCCCTCCTATAAAAGACAGTTCTGGTTTGTTTCCTCACTCTCTGACTAAGGTCCATGAATAAAGAAATGACCTGGTAGTAGATCAGAGTGAGCCATTTCCTAGTTCCCTTGAGGGTGGGAATGTGTAAGCAAGCCCTCAGAGACCAAGCTGCCTGATGTGGGCGGAGTCCTGGATTTGGGGGAACCAATCAGCTCCTGTCTAGTAGTAATCCTCTTTGTCTTTGTATATTAGTCCATGGCCGGGAGATGAGGAAAACCTCTGAGGATTGTCTCACTTTGTCTCCAGACTGGAAAGTAGAAGATGAGGACATCACACAGTAGTAGTCCAGGAGAAAACCCGGCTCCCCTCCAATGTCCCATCGGGCACCACCCAGTGTAGATGGACCATCGGATTCCTCGTATCCTGAGGAACCTCAGACTGTGCAGGACCGGGCTGGCCTTCCAACAGGGAGGAGCTTCTCCTGTACTGAGTGCGGGAAAATGTTACAGTTATAAAATCCAGTCTTAATGTGCACAAAAGATCTCACACACGGGGGAGAAGCCGTATTCCTGTCCTGAGTGCGGGAAATGTTTTTCAGTGAAGTCCTATCTTTACTCCACATCAGAATAACTCACACAGGTGAGAAACCATATTCCTGTTCCTGAGTGTGCGAGAAATGTTTTCAAGGAAGTCCATTCTTTACTCCCATCAGAGATCTCACACGGGGAGAAGCCGTATTTCTGTCTTGAGATGCGGGAAATGTTTTTCACAGAAGTCCAATCTTTATATACATCAGCGATATCATACAGGTGAGAAGCCATATTCCTGTCCTGAGTGCGGAAGGATTTTTGTTCTAAAAATCTAGTCTTAATATGCATAAAACGATCTCACACGGGGGAGAAGCCGTATTCTTGTCCTGAGTGTGGGAAAGGTTTTTCACAAAGTCCGATCTGCACATACATCAGAGATCTCACACGGGGGAAAAGCCGTATTCTTGTCCGGAGTGTGAGAAATGTTTTTTAATGAAGTCCCATCTTTCCACACATCAGAGATCTCACATGGGGGAGAAGCCATATTCCTTCCTGAGTGTGGGAAATGTTTTTCAGAGATGTACCGTCTTTTCACACATCAGAGATCTCACACGGGAAAAGCCACCTTCCTGTCCTGAGTGAGGGGAAATGATCCTCACTGAAGTCCTGTCTTCCTGTACAGCAGGGGTCCCACACAACCCTGGAGGTGTATTAGTGCCTTGAGTGCTGGAAATGTCTTCTAGATGAATGTTGCTGGACATCCCAGCTCACTCATGTGGGGAAAAGAAGTACACCCTGATATACACCCTCAGATAAACTCCATGGCTGATCTTCCTCATGGAAGAAACAGTCCATAAGGAGATCAGAGGTCCCCAAAGACATGGATGAAGTGTGGGACCGCGGTTGGAGAACCCAATGGTAGCAGGAAAAGAATAAAAATGGAGTCCCCTGCCCTGTGATTGGCTGAGTACATTTTGTGGTGGGAGATTTCACAAAACACTTGGAGGTCTTATGGAGAACCAATGTTGAACAGATGTGACCAGCATTCTCCAGCTGGGAGGGTGTTTTGGCCGTATTTTATTTCTTATGATCATTGGCTCCTCTCCATCTAGTGGCCATAATATCAATATTGGGCTAGTTTTAACTGATGGAGAGATTTCAGAAAAATCACCTCATTGTGGCCACTAGATGGAGCCGGCGATCATAGGAAATCACTGTGTTACTTAACATACGGCTGGATGTTGTCACAGCAGGAGGAATGATTGTCCTCATTGGTCCAATGAATGTTCTAATAAATAGAGCCCTTGGGGGTGCATGCGTGGCCGTCTCCTGGATGGACACGCTTTGAGTTCAGCTCCATCCACCCGCCAGTTACACTGCGGCTCATCCTGACACCGAGTGCTCTAAACCTGCACCGATCAGCAGATAAAGGGTGTAACAACCCTCGGTAGCGATGCCTCGCCGGCGAAAAACCCCTGGACAGCCAGGGAAATGAACCCAATTCCTTCCCTGCTGTCACAACAGGGATCCAAGATGGCGCCCGGCAGCATGGACACAGGACACAGCAGCCATGAGGGGGACAGCAGATCCCAGCAGCCGGACATCAGACTCTGTACTCCACTTATAACCTGGGGACCTGGGTGAGTTATCTCCCCCCTGTCACCCACCACAAGCAGCCCAGCCAAATTTACACCCCGTCTAGATTCAAACTCACTATCTGCCTGTCAGCTTCTCATTCCTCCCATCACCTCAGCACAACATCACAGAACCATCTCTGATAGAATCTTTCCCTGCCTCAGACCAGCCTATCACAGAAATGTGTATGAAGAACATGCGTCTATCCCTGCGACAAACACTACATAACGATATGACAGGATCACTATCCCAGATCTCAAATGTGGTCCAGCAACAAGATCACAGATTACGCCATATTGAGACGGGAATGGGAGGTATAAGTACAGCACACAACCATTTAATTGACGCACATGATGACCACGCTTCTGAAATCGAGCAAATAAACCTGAAAATAGCGGAGTTTGAAGATCGCTCAAGACGCAACAATATAAAATTCAGAGGTATTCCCTGAAATATCGCCAACGATACACTACTATCATCTATCCAACAATTCACGAAGCATCTCATTCCATCTCTCAGATATGGAGCTCGCCATAGATCGAGCACATAGAATACCCAAAACCTGCATTCCTATCAGCGTCCATCCCCAGAGATGTCCTGGCTCACATTCACCCCACTTCTACCAGATCAAAGAAAAAGTAATGACAGCAGCCATAACCCTCTCCCGCCATCACATACAAACATCAGATTATATAACGGATTTGTCAAAGGCCACTCTCCTTAACTGCCCTAAAACCTATACAACCCAAAACCACACCACCTGGGACCTAAAACCTAAAACCCTAAAATTTCCCCCGGCCCAAAGGGCCCCCAAACCCCACCCCCCACCCCGGGACGCTATCCCTCAACCTATTATTCCCCGGGCCCAGGGGCCCCAACCACCCCAAACCCCGGGAAACGCTAAAAACCCTTAAACCAAATTAAATTCTTTTGGCAAGGGGCCCCCAACCCACCACCTCGGACGCTAAAAACCTCAACCTATTATTCTCGGGCCCAAAGGCCCCCAAACCCACCCCCCCCGGGAAACGCTAAAAACCCTAAAACCTATTTTTCTTTTTGGAAAATGGCCCCTTACAGAATATTTTACATTACGAGACTCTTTTTGGGCAAAACCCCTTTTCTACGCCCAAATGCTTGTTCACACCCCCCACTGTTTTGAAGTGGGCACTCCCTTTGTTTCCCCAGGGTTTCCCTTGCTTTTTTTCCCACAAGCCCTTTTTTTATTCCTGACCTCCTCCACCCCCCCCCCACCCCCCCCCACAACACCTAACCCCCCATTCCAAACCCCACATCTCAAAAATAGAAACCTCGAGGTCGTTTACCATATCCCTAATCTGCAAATTTTAAAAAATATCCCAAATTTTACCCTAGAAAATTTTTTTAAATTTTTGGCCCCAAAAAACCCAACCCAAAAAAAATTTCAATTCAAAACCCCAATCTCCTTTCCGAAACTTTTCTCAAAAAAAAACAAGGGCCCGGACTTTTTTCTTTTTGGTGGAGACTTCAACGTCATCACAACCCCCCCTCCGGGACTTTTTCCACCAACTAAACGCTCCCCAAAACATTTTTTTTAATTGTTTTTTTACTTTGACCATGACCCTACAAACATCGGGAAAATGCCTTTCACAGCAATGAAAGGATTACACCTACTACCCCCCAATCTCACCAAACCTACTCTAGAATCGACTTCTTTGTTACAGACAAATAACCCCTACAACTAAACGCACCCAAAAAATTGGCCCCAAAAATAACCGGGCCCTGACACGCCCAATCAACAAAAACCTTGACGACAAGAAAACTTTCCCCTCAACCCCCCCCCGTAGCTGAGACTGAATTCCTCGGGTATTGAAAAAAACCCCAAAACAACCAAAAACACTTTTCCCAGAAGCTCACAAAGAAATTTTTTTAAAAATTTTCCCTTTTTTCCCGTCCGGAAAAACTTTTCAACCCCCCCTTTCCCGTCCAGGCCAATTTTCAGCCCTTTTAGTGCCCATCACATTGTTTAAAGAAAAAAAATTACCAGGCAAAAAACCCTGTATCCCAAATAAATTTTTACATTTTTTTTTTCCCAAACAAAAAAGAAAAAACCTTTAATGGGTAAAATTTTAATCCACCTTTAGGGAAAAATTTTTTTTAAAAAATGAAAAAAGCCCCCCCAAAAATGTTGAAAAAAAACATGTTCCCTTCTTTGTATTTGATAATTCCCTTTTTCCAAAATTTAAAAATACTTTTTTTCCAAAAAAAACTTTAAACCAAGAACCATTGTCTACTTTTTTTTTTTAGACATAAAAACCAAAACAAATGTGGAAATTTTTTAGGGCTTTTGGGAAAATTATAGTCCATAACATTTTTTTAAAAATTTTTTTTAAAAAGAAACAATCCCGAAAGTAACCGGGCTAAACCCATAAAAAAAAAAAAAATTTTTGGGGCCCCTAAAAATCCAGGACAGTACCAAAAAACCCCCCCCAAAAAAAAACCCCTTTTTTTTAAAGTAGACCCCCCAAAAATCTGGAAGGGTTTTTTTTTTAATGGGGAAGGGGATGGGGAAATTTTTGGGAAATTGGGCATTTTTTTTCCCCGTTTTTGAAAAAAAATGAATTGAAAAACCCCTTTTTTTTTTTTCCCCAAAGTTGTCCCTTTTAACCCCCCCCAAATTCCCTTTTTCCCCCCACCCCCGGCATAGTGTTTTTGGCCTTTTTTTTTTTAATTAAGTCTCAAAAAAAAATGACTTTTTTAAACAAGACATACCATTATAAAACATCAAGTCCCGCAAGCCTGGAAAAGTTAAGGGTTAAATTTTTTTCTTGGTTGGGAAAATTTGAATTTTACCCAAAAAAAAGGAAAAACCGGAGAGATGTTTTGACGGTGGGGGAAGGATTTTTTTTTTCCTTTCCCCAAAAACAATATACCCAAATTTTTAAGTTTTAAAAGGGGATCAAACACCATTATTCAGACTTCAAAAAAGCATAAAAATAATTACAAGGGCTGGGCCCTGACAATTGAGGGAAACCAAAACCCGAAAATTTTCTGAGAGCTTAAACCCCAAAACCTTTTAGAGTGTGATAAACCCAAAAGACCTCTGAAACAAAAAACAAAATAACTATTGTCCCCCAAAAAGGGGGAAAAAACATTAACATTTTTACCCCGGGGTTTCCAAAAAACCAAAGCCAGGCAAACAAGAGTTTTTTCCCCCTACAAAATTAAAAAAAATAAAAAAAAGGGGTTGGGTTCCCAAAAAACAAAGAATTTAAATTCAGCGACATTTAAGTCTAAAAAATTTACTGTATAAAATTACAAAAATATACTACAAAAAAATTAAATTTAGGGAATTTAAATTTTTTAGGTTTTACCCCCACCCCTAAATAATTTTCCCCCCCCCCCGCCCCCCCCCCAATGGGAAAACCCAAAAATTTCCTAACTTGAAATATTTGGGGGGGAGGGGGGGGGGGAAAGGGGGAAAAAAAAATAAAAGAGTATTAAAACTAGCATTAAATTACATGTTTTTTTAAACAGGAAACAAACAGGGTGGGGGATTTCAAAAGGAATAACTGAATATAAAACCCTATTTTTCCTGGTCCCCCATTTAAAAAAAATTAAAAGGTTAAAAAAATTTATTATATCTGGAAAAAAACGTATATTTGAATTTCCCCGAAAAATTTCCCCTTTAAATTTTTCCCCCCCCAAGGGGATGAGCATCTCAAATACCAAAAAATTTTTCTTATGAAAAAACCCCTGACCGCCACCCCGGCGGGCAGGTGAGAAATAACTTAAAGAAAACACATTTCTCAACTAAAAACCCAAAAACAGGAAAAAAAAACCTTTGGGGGGAAGGGACTTAGAAAAAATGGAAATTTGTTGGTATAAAACCCTTTTACCTTTAAGAAAAAAAAAAAAAAAAAAAACCCCATCCAAAAAGAGGAAACCCCCATCAAGAAAAAAACCCCATCAAGAAAAAGGGGCCTCATCAAAAGAAACCCCGACATCTGAAGGGGGAACCCCTGAA